TACTATATGGGGGATGAATTACTATATGGGGGATGAATTACTATGGGGGATGAATTACTATATGGGGGATGAATTACTATGGGGGATGAATTACTATATGGGGGATGAATTACTATATGGGGGATGAATTACTATGGGGGATGAATTACTATATGGGGGATGAATTACTATATGGGGGATGAATTACTATGGGGGATGAATTACTATATGGGGGATGAATTACTATGGGGGATGAATTACTATATGGGGGATGAATTACTATATGGGGGATGAATTACTATGGGGGATGAATTACTATGGGGAATGAATTACTATATGGGGGATTAATTACTATGGGGGATGAATTACTATAGGGGGGATGAATTACTATGGGGGATGAATTACTATAGGGGGGATGAATTACTATGGGGGATGAATTACTATATGGGGGATGAATTACTATATGGGGGATGAATTACTATGCTTACTATGGGGGAATATTACTATACTTACTATGGATGACACATACACATCATTCATCTACTCTTGGTCCGGCCCCCGGGTCCAATATATGAACCCATTGCGGCCCTCAAGTCAAAAAGTTTGCCCACCCCTGTTCTAGGACCTACATCACCTGGCAGAACCAGTGGCATGGCACCAATAAATTCTCTGATCAGCCATTCCCAACCAGGGTTCCATGGAACCCTAGAGTTCCTCCAGAGTTTGTTAGGGGTTCCAGGATTCCTCTAGATCAGGGGTGGGCAAACTTTTTGACTTGAGGGCCGCAATGGGTTCATATATTGGACCCGGGGGCCGGACCAAGAGTAGATGAATGATGTGTATGTGTCATCCATAGTAAGTATAGGAATATTCCCCCATAGTAAGCATAGTAATCAATCCCCCATATAGTAATTAATCCCCCATATAGTAATTAATCCCCCATAGTAATTCATCCCCCATAGTAATTCATCCCCCATAGTAATTCATCCCCCATATAGTAATTCATCCCCCATAGTAATTCACCCCCATAGTAATTCATCCCCCATATAGTAATTCGTCCCCCATATAGTAATTCGTCCCCCATATAGTAATTCATCCCCCATAGTAATTCATCCCCCATAGTAATTCATCCCCCATATAGTAATTCATCCCCCATAGTAATTCATCCCCCCTATAGTAATTCATCCCCCATAGTAATTCATCCCCCATATAGTAATTCATCCCCCATATAGTAATTCGTCCCCCATATAGTAATTCATCCCCCATATAGTAATTCATCCCCCATAGTAATTCATCCCCCATATTAATTCATCCCCCATAGTAATTCATCCCCCCTATAGTAATTCATCCCCCCTATAGTAATTCATCCCCCATATAGTAATTCATCCCCCATAGTAATTCATCCCCCATATAGTAATTCATCCCCCATAGTAATTCATCCCCCCTATAGTAATTCATCCCCCATATAGTAATTCATCCCCCATATAGTAATTCATCCCCCATAGTAATTCATCCCCCATATAGTAATTCATCCCCCATATAGTAATTCATCCCCCATATAGTAATTCCTCCCCCATAGTAATTCATCCCCCATATAGTAATTCATCCCCCATATAGTAATTCGTCCCCCATATAGTAATTCATCCCCCATATAGTAATTCATCCCCCATAGTAATTCATCCCCCCTATAGTAATTCATCCCCCATAGTAATTCATCCCCCATAGTAATTCATCCCCTATATAGTAATTCATCCCCCCTATAGTAATTCATCCCCCCTATAGTAATTCATCCCCCATATAGTAATTCATCCCCCATAGTAATTCATCCCCCATATAGTAATTCATCCCCCATATTAAGTCCCCAAGTCCCCCCGTGTCAATTCACTTACCTTTGCTCCGCGCGTTCCTCTCGCCGTGTTCCCGCGCCGTTCCGGTGTAGCATGAAAATCTGTCTCCTATGAGGATCTGTCCCCCTCGACGTATCTGCGCATGTGCCAGTTTCAGGCATTAGCAGCCGATCGGCGATCTCCGGCACATGCGCAGATACGTCGAGGGGGACAGATCCTCATAGGAGACAGATTTTCATGCTACACCGATCTTCAGGGCGGACTGTGAGAGGAGCCTAGCGGGAGCCTAGCTCCGCGGGCCGGAATAAAAGGTCCGCCGGGCCGTAGTTTGCCCATTGCTGCTCTAGAGGTTTCTAGGGGCTCCTTCAGCTGTGACCAATTGACCTTCCATCTGAAGGTGCCTGCATAGTTCTGGGACCAACACCTCTTATTAGAACCAGTGGCATGGCACCAATAAATTCTCTGATCAGCCATTCCCAACAGGGTTCAGTGGAATCCTAGAGTTCCTCCAGAGTTTGCTAGGTCTTCCAGGATTCCTCCAGAGGTTGTTAGGGGCTCCTTGAGCTCTGACCAATTGTCCTCCCATCTGAAGGTGTCCGCATAGGTCTAGGACCAACACCACCTGGCAGAACCAGAACCATGGCACAATAATCCTCTGATCAGTCATTCCCAACCAGGGTTCAGTGGAATCCTAGAGATCCTCTAGAGGTTGCTAAGGGTTCCTTGAGTTGTGGCTGATTGTCCTCCCTTTGGATGGTGTCTTCATAGTTCTGGAGCCAACACTTCTCGGCGGAGCCATCAATGATCTATAAGAGTAGCATTCTGAGGAACTCAGTAAGGGGAGACACTGGCCACAAACAAGAGCCATTTTCCAACTGACCACCAATGAACTGGTTCCCCTAGACCTGAAAATTATTTCAAAGGTTAGTCTGGGGTACATAAAATGTTATGTAGAGAGGTGAGGGGAGAGACTGAAGAGCTGGGCCAGCACAGACAGCCATCAGACATTCCAAGAAGAGGAGAGGCCTATGAGGTGCATAGAGGGAAGAGGCTGTGCTAAGGAAGTGGACTCTTCCTAGTGTACGTTGTGGGGGAATATGAAGCTTCCGTTTAGTCAAAATGTAAAAATAAAATAAATAAATAATTAAAAAAAAAAATTGATTCTATTCTATTCAAAATTTGAATAGTTATATTCTTTCTATTCCTTTCTATTCTACTCCATTTTATTCTATTATTTTCTATTCTATTTTAATCTTCTACTCGAGTGTGAATTTATTCTATTCAAACTTCGGAAGACAGTTATATTCTATTTTATTCTATTGTTTTTTTTCTATTCTGTGCTTTTCTAGTCTATTATTTTCCAGTCTATTCTATTCTAATTTGACTTTATTCTATTCAAAATTTGAATTTTGGAAGATATTTTTATTCTATTCTATTTTTCAATTCTAATCTATTATATTGTTTTTTTATTCTTTTATTGTCTATTCTATTCTTTTATTATTATTATTTATTTCACCGTCAATTTATGCAGCGCTTTACACATATATATTGTACGTTCACATCAGTCCCCGCCCCCGAGGAGCGTACAATCTAAGGTCCCTAACTCACATTCATACATACACATACAAGGGCCAATTTAGACAGGAGCCAATTAACCTACCAGCATGTCTTTGGAGCGTGGGAGGAAACCGGAGTACCCGGAGGAAACCCACGCAGGCACAGGGAGAACATGCAAACTCCACTGTTCTTTTCTATTCTAATCTAATCTATTCTGTTCAAATTCAAATTTATTCTATTCAAAATTCACATTTCGGAAGGCAGAGCCACAATCTTTGTATTTTATTCTATTCTATTTTTTTTCTATTCCGTTCTAATTTATTCTATTCTTTTTTTTTTAATTTTATCTTTATGAATTTTTTAAAAAATACAAAACCACTTTGTCACATTCCAGAACAAAAACTTTCACACATAATTTAATCCAGTACTCTGCTGCAGTAATTCACTGCCAAACGATCGGCGTTGTCACCTGATCAAAGTGGGAATGGAACACTGGAAGGATCTACAGGTGATAAAACTGTTACTTTGTTGCATAATAAACTTCGGTGATAAAACGTTGCGATGTTTCTCTGGAGGCAGACTGTATCATAGAAGACATTTGTTATTTTTACTATTAACATGAAAGTTGATGAGGTTAACCCCTTCTCCGCCGCCATCAGTGCCCCCCCCCCTATTTTCCTGCCTCTAGGTCCACACTGATGAAGGACTGTCCCGCCGCGGTCCCAGTCAGGTGTAACTCCCGGCGACGGCGAGGGGCTGACATGATTAATTCCTGCCCAGAGGAGCCCATTATCCGAGGGGGATAAGTAATCCGCTCTGGCAGCTTGCGCTCTATATTGGATAGTTAACCCCCGCCGGTCGGCTGACACCGATGCAATTACTACGGGGCGACGGGGCCGCCAGCAAAACAGTTTACATATGGATGGGCAGATAGAGTCGTTATCTGATGACAGCAACCGGCAGACACAATATCGTTTTTTTTTTTTTCAGTTCCACAACGGAACTTTGTAGCAGAAAAATGGGTCTATTTGGGGCAAGCAGCAATGCGCAAAGTGCGTGACGTTCTAACGGGATCCATCCTTTACGGGTCTCTGCGCAGATTTATTGACTGAACCCAAATGTGTTATCTCTCCGCTTATATCCTCCTGCAGAGATGTCTCTGTTCTGCAACGACAGTCCCTCTTCTCAGCTCCGGAATCTGTAGCTGAGCTCCGGACAGAGCGCTGAACTACCTGAAATGCACCATATTGCCCAAAGTATTGGCCCCGCCCTACAAATCATTGGATTCAGGAGAACAGTACTTGCCTGACTGCATTGTGCCAAGTGTAAAGTTTGGTGGAGGGGGGATTATGGTGTGGGGGTGTTTTTCAGGGGTTGGGCTTGGCCCCCTAGTTCCAGTGAAGGAACTCTTAAGGTGACATGTTGGACAATTTCATGCTCCCAACTTTGTGGGAAGAGTTTGGGGATGGCCCGTTCCTGTTCCAACATGACTGCACCCCAGTGCACAAAGCAAGGTCCATAAAGACATGGAGGAGCCAGTTTGGGGTGGAGGAAGAGTTTGGAGATGGACCCTTCCTGTTCCAACATGATACACTATACTTCCCAAAGTATTGGCCGTGCCATTCAAATCATGTGATTCAGGTGTTCCAATCCCCTCCAAATCATGTGATTCAGGTGTTCCAATCCCCTCTCAATCATGTGATTCAGGTGTTCCAATCCCCTCTCAATCATGGGATTCAGGTGTTCCAATCCCCTCTCAATCATGTGATTCAGGTGTTCCAATCCCCTCTCAATCATGTGATTCAGGTGTTCCAATCCCCTCTCAATCATGGGATTCAGGTGTTCCAATCCCCTCTCAATCATGTGATTCAGGTGTTCCAATCCCCTCTCAATCATGTGATTCAGGTGTTCCAATCCCCGCCAATCATGTGATTCATGTGTTCCAATCCCCTCCCAATCATGTGATTCAGGTGTTCCAATCCCCTCCAATCATGTGATTCAGGTGTTCCAATCCCCTCCCAATCATATGATTCAGGTGTTCCAATCCCCTCCCAATCATGTGATTCAGGTGTTCCAATCCCCTCCATATTATATGATTCAGGTGTTCCAATCCCCCCATATCATGTGATTCAGGTGATCCAATCCCCTCCCACTCATGTGATTCAGGTGTTCCAATCCCCTCCAATCATGTGATTCAGGTGTTCCAATCCCCTCCCAATCATGTGATTCAGGTGTTCTAATCCCCTCCATATCATATGATTCAGGTGTTCCAATCCCCCCATATCATGTGATTCAGGTGATCTCAATCCCCTCCCAATCATGTGATTCAGGTGTTCCAATCCCCTCCATATCATGTGATTTAGGTGTTCCAATCCCCTCCATGGACACAGGTGTATACAATCAAGCCCCTAGGCATGCAGACTGCTTCTACAAACATTGGTGAAAGAATGGGTCGCTCTCAGGAGCTCAGTGAATCCAAGCGTGGTCCCGTGATAGGTGGCCACCTGGGCAATAAGTCCATCCGTGACATTTCCTGGCTACTAAATATTCCACGCTCAACTGTTAGTGGGATTATAACAAAGTGGAAGCCACTGGGAACAACAGCCACTCAGCCACCAAGTGGTAGGCCACGTCACATGACAGGGCGGGGTCAGCGCATGCTGAAGCGCACAGTGCGCAGAAGTCACCAACTGTCTGCAGAGTCAATAGCTAAAGACCTCCAAACTTGGTGTGGCCTTCAGATGAGCCCAACAACAGTGCGTAGAGAGCTTCATGGAATGGGTTTCCATGGCCGAGCAGCTGCATCCAAGCCTTCCATCACCAAGTGCAATGCAAAGCGTCGGATGTAAAGCACGCCGCCACTGGACTCTAGAGCAGATGAGGCGTGTTCTCTGGAGTGACCAATCACCCTTCTCTGTCTGGCAATCCGATTTGACGTGTCTGTGTTTGGCGGTTGCCAGGAGAACGGTACTTGCCTGACTGCATTGTGCCAAGTGTAAAGTTTGGTGGAGGGGGATTATGGTGTGGGGGTGTTTTTCAGGGGGTGGGCTTGGCCCCCTAGTTCCAGTGAAGGGAACTCTTAAGGCGACATTTTGGACAATTTCATGCTCCCAACTTTGTGGGAAGAGTTTGGGGATGGCCCCTTCCTGTTCCAACATGACTGCACACCAGTGCACAAAGCAAGGTCCATAAAGACATGGAGGAGCCAGTTTGGGGTGGAGGAACTTGACTGTCCTGCACAGAGTCCTGACCTCAACCCCATAGAACACCTTTGGGATGAATTAGAGCGGAGACTGCGAGCCAGGCCTCCTCCCCCGACATCAGTGCCTGACCTGACAAATGTGCTTCTGGAAGAATGGTCCAACCTTCCCATAGACACCCTCCTAAACCTTGTGGACGGCCTTCCCAGAAGAGTTGAAGCTGTTATAGCTGCAAAGGGCAGAGCCAACTCAATACTGAACCCTACGGACTAAGACTGGGGGGCCATTAAAGGTCATGTGTGTGGAAAGGGCGGGGCCAACTCAATATTGAACCCTACGGACTAAGACTGGGGGGCCATTAAAGGTCATGTGTGTGGGAAGGGTGGGGCCAACTCAATATTGAACCCTACAGACTAAGACTGGGGGGCCATTAAAGGTCATGTGCATGGAAAGGGCGGGGCCAACTCAATATTGAACCCTACGGACTAAGACTGGGGGACCATTAAAGGTCATGTGTGGGAAGGGTGGGGCCAACTCAATATTGAACCCTACGGACTAAGACTGGGGGGCCATTAAAGGTCATGTGCGTGGGAAGGGCGGGGCCAACTCAATATTGAACCCTACGGACTAAGACTGGGGGGCCATTAAAGGTCATGTGTGGGAAGGGTGGGGCCAACTCAATATTGAACCCTACGGACTAAGACTGGGGGGCCATTAAAGGTCATGTGCGTGGTAAGGGCGGGGCCAACTCAATATTGAACCCTACGGACTAAGACTGGGGGGGCCATTAAAGGTCATGTGCATGGAAAGGCCGGCGGCCCAATACCGGAAGCAATATTTTGTACATATATGGGAACGGTTTTACCTGCTAAAGGATTTGTACTTTCATACATGCCGTGCCGAGAAATCTCAGGTCTGGATGTACAACAGACAGCACAGCTGTGTCACTGACCTCACTCTTACTGCAGTTGTGCAATACAGCCAGGTCACATACCCACCCCCTGCCTGTGATTGGACAGTGAAGGAGCAGCGGTAGACTGAGGGGCTCATCCCTCTGCTCTCCTTCTGTCAGTGTGTTTCTAGTGGACCTTTCATGCCAAACAGAAGATCTGTTTCTTGCTTACCCCCCCCCCCCCCCCAACAAAACAAGTGGCTTCAAAAGCCATTTATAAACAGACCCCCCCCCCCCAAAAAAAAAAAAAAAACCCCAGAATCCCCACCTTGACCCTGCCCTCCAATGCTTCCAGGTGGCGTTGCAGTGCTGGAAGCTGGAAGTCACACTCTTGCAAAAGGCCTGAGTGCCTTTTCGTGGCGTTTTTGGCTCGCAGGTCTACCGGGATGCACAGTGATGTCACCCGTGGCTGGGACAAGGGGTGGGAAGGAGGGACAGCTGCCCCGGGCGCAGCAGAGCAAGGAGGGCAGAGAATAAACAGGGCGGTACACCTGTACGCGCTAGCAGAGATCAGTTTGTGGAACACAATGTAACGATATGAGGATCTTCCCAGCTGACCTAACATCATGGCGCCGATGTAGCCACGCCCCCTACAGTCTTGCAGAAGGGGTGGGAGAAAGTCACATGACCCCAGAATAATCTGATGATTTTTTTTTCTATAACACACATGGACAAGAGTTTGATACATTGTAACGCTTTCTACACATCAGTGTTCTTTGTTTTACGCGTCCTCACGTATCCATCCACTCCACAAACCAGATGGAATTTTACTTTTGCGGGCAGAAGATCTATTTTTAAACGTCGGCGTGTTTTCATTGTCTGTTAATGGCGTCTTTATGTTCTGTCTGAAACACTGGAAGCGTGATTGTCTGTGCGGTAGGGGCGTGTCATGGACGGTAACACGTGTGTCCCTCGCGGTAATCAGTACCCCAAGCACCTCAATGCATGAAAAAACCAGAGCCAGAAAAAAGGGATCAAATATTAACAGCCCATTCAAAGATAAAATAACAAAACCAGATTTAGCTGCAGTCTTACCCTCCATTCCAGAGATTTCCCCTACAGTACTATATTTATGCCACTAGATGTCAGTCTGATGGCCAACATCATTCAACCCATGTCCTCTGAGCCCAGGTCATCGTGGACTTCAACTAGGGTGGAAGAAGCGTCACCTCCTCTGCCTACCTGGAAATCCCGGGTATTTCTCTTCACTCCCAATAGTCAAACCGAGCAGCAGGAGAGCAAAGGTCAGTGGGAGTGGGGGGGCAACACAGTGGGGCACTATTGCTGAGCCCCAGTACTTACCTCCTTACTCTGTCCAGCCCTCCAGACTCTGGTAACCCCCCAGTGCACCCCGTGACTCTAGTGACCCCTAAGCATCCTGTGTCACCCAGAGACCTCCAGTGGACCCCCTGTGTGCCCTGAGACTCTTAAGACCCCCCAGTGTGCCCTCCACGTGCCCATTGACTCTAGTGACCCCCTACTGCACCCACTGTGTCCCCTGTAAATCTAGTGACCCCTGAGCACCGTGTCATCCAGAGAGCTCCAGTGCCCCCCCCCCCCATGTGCCCTGTGACTCTAGTGGTCCCCTAGTGTGCCCACTGTGTGCCCTGTGACTTTAGTGGCCCCCTAATGCGCCCACTGTGTGCCCTGTGACTCTAGAGGCCCTCTAGTGCACCCAATGTGTGCCCTGTGACTCTAGTAGCCCCCTAATGCGCCCACTGTGTGCCCTGTGACTCTTGTGGCCCCCTGGTGTGCTCTCTGTGTACCCTGTGACTCTAGTGACCCCCTAGTGTGCCCTCTCTGTGCCCTGTGACTCTAGTGGCCTCCTAGCGTACCCACTGTGTGCCCTGTGACTCTTGTGGCCCCCTGGTGTGCTCTCTGTGTGCCCTGTGACTCTAGTGACCCCCTAGTGTGCCCTCTCTGTGCCCTGTGAATCTAGTGGCCTCCTAGTGTACCCACTGTGTGTCCTGTGAATCTAGTGGCCCCCTAGTGTGCCCACTGTGTGCCCTGTGACTCTAGTAGCCTCCTAGTGTAACCACTGTGTGCCCTGTGACTTTAGTGACCCCCTAGTGTGCTCACTGTGTGCCCTGTGACTTTAGTGACCCCCTAGTGTGCTCACTGTGTGCTATGTGATTCTAGTGACCCCCTAATGTTCCCAGAGTGTGCCCTGTGACTCTAGTGGCCCCCTAGTGTGCCCAATCTGTGCCCTGTAACTCTAGTGGCCCTCTAGTGCGCCTACTGTGTGCCCTGTGACTCTAGTGACCCTGCAGTGTGCCCACTGTGTGCCTGTGAGATGGGAAAACAGCTCTCATTGTTTGAATACTGCTTGTGTGGAGTAAATTAAATGTTTTGACTGACATTCTGCAGTTTAGCCACAAGATGTCACTGTTTTTCTAACACAGCCACAGACTGCATAGAGATTTCTATATTCATGAAGAGGTGGAGTTTTCATGGAGCAGCCATGCTCTGGAGAATGGTGAATGAGGGGGGCTGTGTGAGAATCTGATGACATCCAGGTGTGAGAGCACCCCTCAGTAACCAGAGATTGCTGCCAGGAAGCAGATGAGATTGCTGCCAGGAAGCTGATGAGATTGCTGCCAGGAATGCTGATGAGATTGCTGCCAGGAAGGCTGATGAGATTGCTGCCAGGAAGGCTGATGAGAGCAGAGGAACTAAGTAACATATATGGCAAGACAACATGCTTGTTGGAGAGACATTTGTTCTGTTCAGAGTCACCAGCGGATGCAAAGCAGAATGGGGCAGTAAGATCGTGCACGCACCTCATTTCAGTGTTGGCGCCTTGAGACTGAGTCCAGGCCTATAGTTAGTTAGTTAGGGTCTCTGTTGGTGTCAGGCCGCCAGTAGGTAAATTACTACCCTTTCTACCTTCATCCATCAGGAGGCGCCGTGCTGTGCAGCACAAGGGTCTCAGCCAGGCTGGGTGTATGTAAATATATTGTATGTTCCCAGCATTTGTGGTTGTGTTTATTTGCCACATCTAAGTAAAATTCTGTTGTGGCAAAAGCTGGTGTTGAGGTTGCTTTCCTCGTTCGTGACTTCACTGTATCCTGGGGAGCCCACCCCGGTACACGGCTTACATGCCCTGTGACTAGTAAACCCCCAGTGTACTCACTGTGTGTCCTGTGACTATAGTGGCCCCTCACTGCACCCCCCGTGTGCCCTGTGACTCAAGTGGCCCCCTCGGCGCGCTCACTGTGCGCCCAAATGCGCATAAAAGCTTATGCAAAATGCAGCTTCAGGCACTTTTTTTAAGCTGTGGTTTAAAAGGCGTCCAGAGGGGAAAACAGAAAAAAAAAATCCCGTGTGCATGAGGCCATAAAGTCGTGGCTCACATTTGGTTTTTTTCCCAGCACCCCCCTTTCCCAGCGTCCCCATAACCGCCATAACCGGTCCTCTTGCCATAATTTCCAGCTGGGTTAACCCGCGGCTCTATGAATGTCTCTCTGCTGAGCGGATTCATTTGTATTCATATCTTTCTTTTTCTGCGCGGCAATAAAAAAAAAAAAAATCTAACAACCGAGTGTGAGAAATAACCTGGCGGCTCGGCCCCGACCACAATGCGTCTCGGCGGCATCATTCCTCACCGGGTCAAGTAGAAAAATATTGTCTGTTACAGGAGCGAGATCGGAAGAACATA